AATAGAGAAAACAAGATTGATGACGTCAACTGATCTAAACCTCCCTCCACCTTGTCAACAACTGACAAACATTTCCAAACCCCAACCCCCCCCCCCCCCCCCCCCCCCCCCCCCGATTTTGGTGACGTAATTAATAGACGCCCCCTAGATAGAATCATGGAACAAAGAAATCAAATACTGAATAAGTTGTTATAAAGACCAGGGGTGGGCAAACTACGGCCCGCGGGCCGCATGAGGCCCAGAAACTGATAATATGCGACCCTCGAAGGCATTTAGAAATAAGAAAAATTACTTTGTTTTTAAGTTATTTTGTAGAATTTTACAGAATTTCATGTATTGTTATGATTGTTTTAACAATTTTGATCAAATTTATTTCTGATGTGTAATTTTTTGTTTAAACAGTCCTTGACTTTTGTCATATAATGCAAAATGCGAATTTACCAATTTTAATATAGAGAAATTTTTATCGGCATGTTCAAATTGGACATAATAAACATGCGGGGCCCCCAATAGCTTTACATTTGTCAATGTGACCCTCCCGAAAAATAAAGTTTGCCCATCCCTGATATAGACAACTAGATAGAATTATGAAAAAAATAATAAAATTCTCAATAAATAAGTCGCATTCTCAATATTCTTATTCCAGTATTAAAAATGTTTGCACATCAATATCTAAAGTTTCAGTAGAGAATACTTTTTGAGTTGTCTACCCTTCCCCTGTCAAAAACATTTAAAATGTCAGACTTTTTATTGCTTACAAAATAAAATGAGTAAGGGGTAATAAGGGGAGAGACTGCAATTAGGTTAGTACAAAATAAAATGAGTACTAGCCTGATTGCAGTCTCTCCCCTTAATATTACTCATTTTATTTTGTACTAACCTGATGGCATGCTCTCCCCTTATTATTGCTTACCAATCATAAATTGCAACATGTGCAAGACTTTGCAGGACATTTTCATTTTGTTTTGGCAATATTTTATATTATTACAGAGAACTAGACATTTTTTAAATACACTCAGTTATTGACATCTTTTATGACTCAACTAAATACTTTCTTGACCATGAAACACTTAAAACAATATTTGTTGCTTGCTGCATGTGTAAGGTTGACCACTCAGATAATGAGCACACATTTACTTCCCATATTGTGCTATGGCATTCTGTCACCCCATTGTCGCAACTCTGCTTACAGTACGGCGTGAAGACCCGTTTTCCCTCCTGATTCGCTACCTCACCACAATGGGAATCAGGGTGATGGACCTCTTTCGAATGTTTGACAAAGACAACAACCTCAGTGTCACTAGGCAAAAGTTCATACAAGGACTAAAGGTACCAGTCACTGCTTCCTGGAAAAGAGCCTAATGCCAGTGTTCGTTAATAAATAGAGACCCACCACTTAGGCATAGTGGGTTGTCATCCAAACACAGTGGGTTGTCCTCCACAGACCTAGTGGGTTGTCATCATAGGCACAGTGGGTAGTCATCGACATTGCTTAATTAACATAAAACTTATTCTATCAGTATCAGCGGGTTTACTCTCAAAGGAATCTTTGAATATTTATTTTTGAATTTAAACAAATATTCTTAATTGTGCTGCCAAGTTTCAACTAGCAATGACACATTTTGAATTATTTAAAAATAACTTTAACTAATATTTGTTGAAAGGAACACTTTAAAAAAAATGTTTTACAAAATATCAATGTTGAGCCAAGTGTTTCAAAGTGTCCAATAGTTAAACGATTTAAAAAAAATTAATCTAAAGGTGTGTCCCAAAAAATTAGAATCTGTTAGTAACAGATTCTAATTTACAAACTGTGTTAAGTCTGAGTAATGTATTTGTTAGACTTAATAAACTGGAAATAATTTCAAATCATCACGCCACTGAATGATTTACAGAATGGGGCGGGATGACACCATCCTGTTTCCCTATTTCTAAAGCTTTATTTCTTAATATCGGTAAAGCTGGGGCCTGCTATAAATATACCAGAGGTTAAATCAATTTATTTACATTACTAATGTCAAAGCAAAATTTACAATAATTTTAAGGTCGCCTTGTTTGATTTCAACAAATTCAGTGTGTGTGTGTGTGTGACTCACAGTTTATGCTTATATCAGCAGATTTACATAATGTCTCACAGAGTTCCGCTATTTTTGTTTGTTTTTATGGAAAAAAAACGATTTGAATTTTTTTTTTTTTTTGGCTTGTAATAAAAAATTAATTATTCAAATATTTGGAGAAAAAAAAGTTTTAAAAATGTATTGAAATTCGGATACCAAAAATGTTCAAATAAAATGTTGTACATTGACCTCAATCTTCCAGAGTTCAAGATTATTAACACTAACACATGATTTTTTACTTAATCAGCGAGTTCGGGTACCATTGGACGACGACGATATTCTAGAAGTGGCGAAACGATTCCAGTTAAACAAGCATGGGAACATCAGTTACCAGTAAGTGCATATTCACAGCTCTTAGTCTATCGGTTGATTTGTAAGTCTATATCAATTTATGTGTCAGTTTATGTGTCAATAACAAAAATCAGATCACTATCAAATTGAAAATAAATATGAAAATTATTTTTTACAATCGCAGAAAATTATTAATAGCTTACAAACCAATTCTCCAGTAGCATGAATGAGTTTAGAAAATCCCTGTGACTTACTTTCATATTTTAATGAAAATGTACACATTTTTAGTATCACTTTTCATCAGGGAGCTGGCAACGACTGTTCGAAATCGCATTCGTGAGGAGAGAAAGGAAGACAGGAGGCAAGAGTTTATACAGAAGAAGAAACGCGAGGAGAGGAGAAGGATATTACAGTCGGATAATCCACTTAACACACCGTCGTATTACAACTACATGCCGAGCTTGTACAGTATGTATGGGGCAAGGGACCGCAGCAGTCAGAGAAGCTTATATTCCCCCATCCCCGGCAGCTTCAGCAGGCGTGGCTCAATCTTCACACCACTGCCTTCAATCAAAAGAAATAGGAATTATAGCAGCGTGGATGCACTGGCGTTGGGAAGAAATACACCTCTGACTCTTGTGCGTCAGAGTGCTCTACCTTACATCAACAAGATGATATCATCCGGCAGCAGTTTAAAGACGGATGACCCCAATGAAATTATCAACTCAACTGATAAAAAGTTTGGATCTTCTTATGTCAGCCAGATCAAGTGGCAGCAGACAGCACAAGAACTTACTAAAAGAAGGCAACATTTACTGTAAGATAAACTTCTAAACAAATCAACGCAAGAATTGATCACAACAAGAACATTTATTTACAAGCATGTTGTTGATACAACATTAATGCCAGCACAACGATGTACCATAAATGAGCAATAATTTACAAGTAACACATTTTCTCATATGCCAAAGTGATGACATACCAGTATTTAAAGACAGAATTAAGTATTGCAACGAAATTGTTAGTTACACACACTGGTATTATTTTTTATATTGTACACAAAATGGCCCTTTTTGAAGAGACAGGTGTAATCTACATACTCAGCTGCTGACAGAATTTGTTATAAAAAAAACAAGTGTGTTACATTGACAGAATTTGTTATCAAACATAAGTGTGTTACATTATGAATAATTTGACCCTCACATTATTTACAAGGCAATCCTATTTTTAGCTAGGTTTTTATATCTATAATGTCAAAAAAAAATTGGACATGAGTCTGTCAGTTAGTCTATATTTATGAGGTGCGGAAAGCTGCTAAAGATTTAAAGTAATCAACTCTTTTAACGCCTTTAATATACAGTGAAGCAACTACTGTATTAGCAGGTGTATAGGAGGCACGCTTTTCACTTTCACCTCAACATTCGCCTAAAATACAGGGTGCGTCTTAGAAATTTTGTTTCCTCATACATGAGTCCTATATGCTGGCCCATATGGTAAATAGCTAAATAAACAGATTTTCTGCATTATATGAAAATGGTTGTGATAAAAATCTTCAAAACCAATGCAGATGACCTGCAGATCACAGAAATTAAAATACATTGTCAACCTGAACATTATAACCTTCCCCAGTAAAGAATATAGATAAAGGTTTCCAATAATGCTTTTAGGAATGGACGTCTAATTATTCTTTGGCGTCTCCGATGCCATCAGGGTTAATGGCAAACATGGCTTCTGCTTCCGGTAAGCAGGGTGAGTCATAAATTTTACAGATGCGAGTTTCACCGCGACCTTTCCTCAGAGATAACCTGTAAATAATACAGTCAATAGCGTTCTTTTCATTGCTTTGTATACATTTTTTATGGCAAATTTACAATTTAGCATTTGATTTTATATTATCTAACATTTTTTTGGGGTATAAAATAAAGAAAATTTTGTTCTTGGAATTATGCTTGAAATCTGGCATGATAAAAAAATAGTGTGGGAAGGATTATCATAGAAATCTTAAGTGTTTGTAATAATTCATTACCGTTAATTCAGATTATATGATTTTGAACTTAGAATTTGATCCTAGTTATTTTGGAATGAAAAAGTTCTATAAGTTTTATAAAAGTAAAAGAAAATAATATTTCCATTTTCTTGACCCATCTTTATAAGTTTGAAATATTTGTGAGAGTTCAATGAATCAATTTCCGAGTGCAAAATGCTTTTGGCTGTTAATAATTTAACCCTGTAATCGGCAAGTGGATATTTCTGTAGCTTTTTCTGATATGAATGTTGATAGTGACCTTGACCTTTATAAAGTGAGTAAAATGTTAATGCCCAACTTCTGAATTCAATCCAACCTAATCCTCCATAAATTGTTCAAACTATCATAAAATTACGTTTTTGAGATACTAGAAGCAATATTCTTTCAGAAAATGTTAAGTTATAGGTAATTATATTGAAAATTGTAAAATTGTTGAATTTTTTTTCATTCCCTACGTTCAAATTTCTGTCATACAAAATACAAGGGGGAAAGCACAAAATTAGTTCAAAAATTCATTTTCAATTGTAGTTATTAAATACATTATTTTATTAATTAATACTCCAGAATATACAGAAACGTAAATTTCTTTGAATCTCTTTAGGGTAGGTCTTTGGGATCTAATTTTTGTCTTTTCTGTTTGATTTCCACCCTTTTCCAAACAAATTTTTCTGTCACAATATGATTAAGTTTAGGGCATAATTTGTCCATTTCTGACTCTTATGTCCCCATCAAGCCTAGAGCTAATACTGTCATTACTATCATGTGGATTATCTCTTAAATCATTACTTTGATTTTATCCATTCGAAATAATTCCAATAAAGAAAGTCTGTTTTCAGTTTGAAATCTGGAGCGGGAACCCTCTCCAGCATTAGATATAATGGCAGTAAAAAAAATGAGTAAATTTTACACCTGATTAATCACAAACAAATCACTGAGAAAATCATGTTAACACACAGATAGATATGTAAATAAGAAGTAAACTCATTTATGTAGAATTACTTCCCCTTAACCAATATACATTAGGCATACGCATTTTAATTACAATTTTGCTAGCTGCCAATTATATTGGCAATACAACGACAGAAAGGGGGTTCACAGCTGATCATCTGTCGTTTTGGCAGTTATAGGGTTAAATCAACCCAAAAAAAAAAAAAGCTTCAGGGTAAGTCAAGACAATGACATCTAAACAAATGTTATATTTAATGTTATATTTATCTTCACAATTACCTGGTTGTGGAGGCATGAGCTATGATGTTTCCACCAATAGGCTTCTTGGGATCAGCTGCAAACATGGCTGCACCGTCAACTTGTGCCACAACTTGATTGGTTATTACAACAGCAACACCAAACTGTTGGGTGACAACATTGTTGGAACTTCTTGAAAGCATTTCAACACAATTTAGAAAAAACTTTGGTCTTATTATTGTAAGAGTACATAAGCACTGAATTAATTTTAAAATAATAATATTAATGGAATTATTGAAAACTAGTTAGACCTAAGGACAAAAAGCAGAAAAACAACCATATTCTGAGAGTTATTTATGTCAAAAGGTAAACCCACCTCATCAGCTAATCGTAACAACATTCTGAGAAATCTGGCAAGGTGCATCTGTCTTGCTGACAGCTCCCCTCTGCCAGAGTAGTCTGTTCTGTACAATGCTGTGGCACTGTCTACAATCAGCAATGCATAACTGAAATAAAATTACAAGTTAGCACATTCTTATTTTAATAGCTGTTATTTTAAGTGACCTAAATTAGTGTCCAAATTTATGTTTTATGTACAGATATTTGTCCAAAAAACAACAAAAAATGAATGAGACATTGATCTAGTTTCATATTTTAACGCTACATAAAATCAGGGGTAAAAAAAAAATATTTTGATAGTACATTAATATTTCGCTTTTTTTAGATTTCTTTGTTTTAACGCTTCAAGATGTTTTTAATTTTGAAATTTATTATTATTTTTAATAAAAGTGCCAAAGTACCAAGAACAGGATGATTATTCACAGAAAATTTTTATTACAATGTCGAAAAAATATATATTAATGATATAGTATTGGTAGTAATGCAATACAATGTGTAAGGTAGTAATGCTGTAAAAATTCCAATCCACAAGAAAATGATTCATTTTGAATTAGTTTGTTTCTAGTTATAATAATAATAATAATAAGTGGTCTTATATAGCGCGGTACCCCAGCCTAGGGCTGGGCTCACCGCGCTGTACATAAATATAGCAAAGAGGCATAATCATAATATTAAAATAAAATACATAAATGAAATAAAAACAACATATAAGCAAAACAACACCATAGGTATATTCATCCACCCACACCAGACATTTTTACAAGGAAACCCATGTACGTTTATCGGTTTATAGGAGGAGAATCAGTCAGAGTAGTATAGTTTAAATAGATGTGTTTTGAGTGCAGTTTTGAAGGCCTGTGTGGTTGTTATATTGCGGATGTGTAGTGGCAAAGAATTCCATTGTTTGGGGGCGCAGAAAGAGAAAGATCGTTCACCATATAATTTAGTGCGTGTCTTGGGAACGGACAGAATACGCGAGTCTGCGGAGGAGCGAAGTTGTCGAAGGGGTGAATAGACAGAAAGAAGTTCAGTTAGATAGGAAGGGCAGGAATCCGAGAAAAAGTTGTGACAGAGAAGAGACAGCTTGTAGTCAATGCGTGCCTGTATAGGGAGCCAATGTAGTGAGTGGAGTAGTGGAGTGACGTGATCACGTTTTTTTGCCTTAAGAACAAGCCTAGCAGCAGAGTTTTGAACTTTCTGCAGTTTTTCTATAAAATGTTTCGGTGAACCTGACAGAAGTGAGTTGCAATAGTCAAGACGAGAGAGAACAAGAGCACAGACTAGAGTTTTTGTTGCGCTAACTGTCAGGTAGTGGCGGATGGAGCTGATCTGACGGATGGCGGTGTATGCCGAACGACAAATGTGAGAGATATGTTTATCGAGAGACATGTTGTTAGAAAGAATATAACCAAGATTCCTAGCAGAGGGTGTAAACTGTATGTCGGAGTTACCTACTTGAAATGAGGTGGGAAGAGTTGAGGTAGAGGATGATTTGTGATTGTAAATGAGGAGTGCTTCTGTTTTGTCATCATTAAGCTTCAACTTGCTGAGTGTCATCCAAGACTTGACATCATCAATGCACCCCCGCAAAGTCTGGACAGCGGAATCGACAAGAGATGGATGGGTATGCATGTATAGCTGTGTATCATCTGCAAATGACTGGTTCTCAACAGCATGCCTCCCGAGCAAGAGGAGTAGTGGTCTGGTATACATTATGAATAGAACCGGACCCAAAACGGACCCCTGTGGCACTCCGTACACCAAATCAGCACTGCCGGAGAGACAGCCATCGACAGAGACCATTTGCGTTCTATCAGAGAGGTAGGACCTAAACCAAGCCAAAACCGAACCAGAAATTCCAAAGTAGTTTTCAAGGGTTTTGAAACAGGTCAAAGGCCGCACTGAGGTCTAAGAGGATCAGAATGGAGACATTACCGCTGTCCATTGCGCGCAAGAGGTCATTACTGACTCTCAAGAGAGCTGTCTCCGTGCTATGGAAATGTCTATAGGCCGACTGATTAGAACTGAGAAGAGAGTGGTCATTTAAGCAAGCAAAAAGTTGTTTTAGGACTAGTTTTTTAATAACTTTAGATAAAAATGATAAGTTAGATACAGGTCTATAGTTTTTTAGATTATTTATAGTTATAACTGACCGAGATTCTGCCATCATGGCGGCTGCTTGTATAAGTAATTGGCTCTGATGATCACTGTTGTAAGCTCTGGCATATGCCACATTGTCCAAAACATCACTTCCAGATAAGCCATAACTATTTCAATGTTTGAGAGAACAATTTAGTTAAACAAAGTGAGATAAAATTTTTTTTGAAAAAATACATATAGATCTAAATCTAAAAATAAAAATGGCTTAAACTGAATTTTTTTTTAAACTGCAATTTTTATTAAAATTTGGGAAGGTTTTGACTTTAAGTTTTATTAATATTTTAGATGCACAATGTGTCCATACCGGTCAGCAACAGCCAGTAACCTCTCAGGACGGAATGTTCCTTCGGTATCAATGTACATGGCTTTTCCTTCACCTCCCCCCATATCAATGGGCAACTGGTGACAAGACACGATGAATCATTGTTAAAGAAGTTCATTATAACTTATAATTCAGGCAATGACTATATACTAATGGCCAACTGATAAATTATAAACAGAATAGTTAAAATAAAGTCCTGAAATTGTTTCTTGAAAAGAAGTTTTTTTTTCAATAGCTAAGTATTTACTAAGCATGTGTGTGGTGAAATATTCTTTAATAAACTAAACCTGAGATTATGTCGCATTAATAATATCTTGCATTAAACTAAAAGTGACCTTAAATGATTACCTGGCAAGTAACAGCTAGTGTATGGCACAGTTGTGTCTTTCCTGTACGAAACTCTCCAAATATTTCTGTAATAGACCCTGTTTCTATGCCTCCTGTAAAAATACCATTCAAAACCACAGTGTAAAGGGAATAATATGATAATGTTCAAATTTAGATTAAACAGAAAAACATATACACCTAGTTGAAATAAGAAACTAAATGAACAATGCATCCAGCTGAACAAAAATTGTTTCTGTAGAAATTTGCTTAATTGTGTGTTACTACCAAAGTCTGAAATTTGCCAAAGCCTGAAATAGCGTCCATCCACTTTTGGAAAATGGCTAATCTTGCTGTATATTCCCTGGCCAGTATCTAATCTTTTTTATTTTGGAATTTGCCCTGCCAGTTTGAGATTTAACATGGGGCAATCAGCCAAAGGCATAAGAAAAAGTCTTGAGCAGGTTTTGGTAGGTCCATTTAATTCCACACTTTATTATTGATTATTAATTATAAGTTATTAAATTCACTTTTATAAATCACAGTAAAATATCAATCCATATCATCACTTGTTACATCAGCACATTGAGTTTTGGAGTAGCATGTACACTACTCAAGTACATCACCTCTCAGTTCTGGTCGTAACATTTATATGTAAATTTAAGCTTTCAAACTTTACTCAATTATATAGATACATTTATGTTGTACCGGTATTCTGTTTAAGGTTAACACATTCCAAAAATTTACCCTGCAATAATTTGTCAAGTTCTTTAGATCCAGTTGTCACTTGAATAATCTCTGATCTTTTCTGATGAAACTCTGTTGCAGTTGTGAAACCCATAGGGACGAGCTTTGCCGCTTCTGCCTGTTGGGAAAAACAATTAAAATTAAAAAATGAGAAAAGAAATGACCAAAGTACAAGTTACATTGTGATATAGTCTCAATATATTCAAAGTACTACCAAGCTGATACAAAAATAGCATATTGTTTCTTAATATCTCTACAATCTCATACATGGCAACATAAAAATTTTACAAAACTGTATACAGTACAGACTTTAAAAAGAAAGAAAAAAAGAAAAGAAAAACAGTTCATCCAAATATTGGGTAAGATTTAATTACGCTACCTTAAGATAAAATACGTACCACAATTTTGTCGGCTTTGACCTCACTGATTCCTTTAATGGATAGCAACATCTTTTTAGGTGCAAATGCTACAGATTCTACCGTGAAAAAGCCTGCTTCCTCCAGTTTCTTAATATCTGCTGCGTTTATGCCATTTCCCTAATAATGATGGAAAACAATACATTTGATGAGTTACATAAAATTCAATGATTGTGCCCTAGAAAAGCTTGTAGAAAACATTGCTATATCTATTTTTTTAAGAATATCTGAGCCCATATCATTAACCATATTAGACAGCATCCACACATCCATTGACAACATGTTTAAATTATCATGACTCTAGTTAACATTCCTTTCACATCAGATAAATTATCAAAATGTTCCGTTTAGTTTACGATGCAATTCAAATTTAATTGGTAATTCAACTACTACAAATGGCATATGTAACTGAAAATAAATGAACCATTAGCAGACAGTTCTTTCAGCATTTTATTTTTTTACAAAGAATTTATTTTGCAGCCAAACAAAACATGTAGGTATTTACAGACTAACTTCAATTTTAGCCAGTGGCATAGGTCCAAAAGTTTCCTCTTCAGCACTATGTGCTGTCTCTTCTTCTCGTGACTTTTGTTTCGCTGTTGCCATTGCTGTTGCCATTGCTGTTGCGAGTTAGCTCACAGAGACTAAGAACAAAAATATAATGTTAGATGTATGTATACAAAAATAAACTTCTAAAATATTTTTTTTTAAAGATTTCAACCTCTGTGTTCGCTGAGGACTTCACCAAATAAAAGTAAGACTGCAGTATAGTCACAGCTGATGGGATGGGTAGGCCTTTACTCAGTATAACAACACTAATCTAAATAAAAAGGTACACAGTATCTCAGTAACAGTATGTGATGCCCAAATTAATTTGTTTTGTAGCAGTCGTGTGAGTGTGACAATGATCAGCATAATGACAATAATCATAATAATGTCTATAGAGATATTGTTACAGTATTATTTTTGTATAATATATTATATGTAGTAATATTAAGCAATAGGGCAAAGTGGGGAGAGAACACATAACAGTCGTTGAATACACTAAACTAAGGCCATTGACTGGATGAATTGAATATATTAGGACTAGGAACATTTTGACAAGTGTTTGAATGGACCATTTTGACATGCGGTTGAATACACTAGGACCATTGTGCCATATGTTTTTGCTACTGTTAGGGTGGGAGAGAACACTGGTTATGTATGATGGAGGAAGCATTACATATTGAATTATACTTCAAATTCTTTATCCATCTTGTAATATGCTTATGGGGCATCTCGCCCAGGGGGGGGGGGGGAATTATTTCACCCCATTATTAAAATTATATTTATTTTATATTTATGTATGAATTTTACTTCAAATTCTTTATCCATCTTGTAATATGCTTATGGGGCATCCCGCCCAGGGGGGGGGGGGGAATTATTTCACACCATTATTAAAATTATACTTATTTTATACTTATGGTAAGTCATAGTCATAAGTTTCTAGGTCAAGGCACTTCCCCCTACGCCTACACTACTGTTTTACAAGAACTCACTGAGTGTAGACTACAGCTATATTCATATTGGTGCTAGTAAACAGTAGTATAATTAATAAGTATAGTATAGTATACTCTTATTCTTATTCTTCGAATCTAATCTAGGCCTATCCTATGCCTATGCATCTTCTTTAGATTTTAGCTAAATAAATAAGTTAGGGGCCGGGCGCTTACTTAATGATTACAATAATTTATTAAATAAATAAAATTATAATTATAGTATAATCAATAATCTAAGTATTATAGTAAATAGTTTACAGTTTTATATTATATTTAATAAATTAATAGGGGAATAGGAATAGGCATAGGGCAATACATTATTAATACTCATAGTCATATGCTTGGTGTCGATGTGAACGCCTGGATTCCCAAATGAAACCAAAGTGACAGTGGTCACCCACTAACACACTAATCACCACTAATAGTACTACTTACATAAACAACAAAAAATCGATTGCGAAAAAATGAGTAAATGTATTTATCAGAAATTGACCAAATGAATCGAAGAACCCCGCCGTTGTAATTACTTCCGGTTCAGATCAACCAAACCGAAGAGAAGATATAAGATTTTAATTTCGCAATATTTCTCAAACTGTAGTAGCTGTCTATTATTTTCTATAAAATCTTCTTTAAAAACAAAAAGGAAGAGGGGGGGGGGTCGTATTAATATAATCAAAATAATATCTTACAATTCTTTGTGTCAATTATTTAAACTTTTTAAAAAAAATACGGGTTTTATGTGATAAATAACTACCGGTACATAACAAATATGGAAAAGACTAATCAATGACTATTGAATTTTTGTATCTTAAATTAATCTTAAATTTAAATTAGTTATTTTAAACTGCAATTTTGCAGCGCCGCACCCCATCTCAATTTCAAAACATAATAGGCCTCTATATCCCGCACCTCCACGATTAAAAAAAAATAATGTTTCCTTGTTATTTGTAGGTAGTGCCAGTGCATTCGAACTTTCCAGATCCTCGTTTTAAATTGTAGCTTTACGTTTCAACTTTTTTTTTTTTTTTTTTACAACGCAGAAGAAGGATTCAATGCCTTCTTTTCAGTTTCATTTCAGATTCAAGCGTAAACTCGAGTCAAGTAAATGTAACCCGCATTTTTATTTTTTTTTTTTTTCTTTTTTTTTTTTTTTTTTTTTTTTTTTTTTTTTTTTTTACAACGCAGAAGAAGGATTCAATGCCTTCTTTTCAGTCTCATTTCAGATTCAAGCGTAAACTCGAGTCAAGTAAATGTAACCCGCATTTTTTCCCTCTTATCTCTTCCATACCAGAACATACAATACGTCTATCTATTATCCCCTTCTAAACGTATTATATATATATATATGCCTACTTAGACTTTTTCAAACATTTTTTGTTGTCGCGGCCCCCTTAAACTACACGTGACACATCGACACATGTCTCATAATTTGCCTTTAGGTTAATTCGCCACTGCATGATATTAATAAGTCAAGTATGCCTAAGTCAAGTATGCCTAAGTCAAGTATGCCTAAGTCAAGTATGCCTAAGTCAAGCCATGTCGTTGTCACAATCCCCCCCCCCACACACACACAAACTCTTTTTTTTTTTCAATTTTGTATCAGTCGCTGGTCTAATTTTGTTTGACATATCCTTGAATTTGATTACCGGGTAATGTATTGGTGTTTTTTCCCCTACAGACCAACTCAATACGCTACTAAAAATAGAATCGTCAGAAGTTAACAGAAGCATTCAAATTCAAGTCACAAGTCAAATCAAGATCCTCAGAGACCGCCGCGGGCGTAACAAATATAGCCATAAGATAAAATAAGATAAGATAAGATTCGTTTATTAATCCAAACAAATGGAAATGTTTTATGATTGCATTATACATTTTCTGCACATAAATAAAACAATTTGAACACAAGCAGAGGCGTAGCGAGGGGAGGGCAGGGGGGGACAGATTCCCCGGGCGCAAGGTAGTTAGGGGCGCCAAAATGTGCTTTGATATTATATTATTGATGAAAATAATGGGTTTAAGAGTTGAAAAAAAAAAGAAAAAGCGGCGATTTACAATGGATCTTGTCCCCGGGCGCGAATTTTGTCCCCGGGCGCCAAACACCCTCGCTACGCCTCTGAACACAAGACATTTATAATAAATTGTTTCAAACAGGCATTCAGTGAGTTCTCTTAGCAAAATCGGGGACTTAGTAGTTCTCATTAAGATGTGTGACTTCAGAGGGAACACGCTGGTAAAGTCGTACAGATTGGGGAACAAAATAATTTTTATATCGGTCAGTCCTCGCCCTGATGGAAAGAATTCGTCCCGAACGGCCCGATCCTAAGTATTTGTGATGAAGAGGGTGGGATGTATCATCCAAAATGTGTTTAGTTTTACAAAAACATCTTTCTTCAAATAGTTCTTCAAGTGAATGATGTTTAGTTTGTGTTATGACTTATGTTCCTAGCTTTCTTGATTAGTCGGTTTGTGCGGTGTTTAATATCAGACGTTGAATTCCCACACCAGCAGGTAATACTGAAATTAAGTAGGCTTCCAATTGTTGCTTGTTAACTCCGAAATTGTACCGTTTTTTTTGAGGTAGAACAGTCTTTGGTTGAATTTCTTATACAGGATTTAGCCGTGCTCATGCCATGTTAGCTTATTATTAATGGTGACACATAGACATAAGTACGGTACTTATAAGCCTCCACTTTCTCTACACTTTGATTTTTTATGTTGAGATTTGTAATCTGGTGTTACCCCCTCCTGAAATCAACAACCATTTTCTTTGTTTTTGTGCCTCAGCCACATCTTAAATTTATTTTTATAGCGATTTAAAGTCGGAAAGTTATCGTCCCCGTCTCCCAGACTAAAAACCGACTTCTTTACTCTCGATTGAGAAAATATGACGTCATACTAAAGCTCAGAAAGCGGATGTTTACATCAAATGCTGGTATGTTTTTATTATATTTTTTTTTAAGGAAGACAAAGGCTGTTTCAGTGTTTAGTGTCTTAATTTTTGTTTGTGTGGTAAGCAGTACCAAAAAGTGCATTACTAAGTGTAAAGATTTAGATGTTGGGTTTATTAAATTTAATAATACGGATCTGGGTCTCTTTAGACTATTTATTAATTAATAATTAAATTAATGAATTAATGGTGGAAAGTTACTAAATAAAATAGTAGTCGTAGTAGTAATAGTTAGTATACGTTACGACTAAGCAAGGCTCATCATTGCTAAGCCTTACCTACGCGTAAAGTAAAAATTGAAGGCTGAAAGCATTGATTTTGATTGAATGACTGATTGATCATTGAAGGTTAGACTGCCTAAGCCTAAACTAATGTCAGTAATGTTGACACTGACAGTAACAGTAACAGTATCAGTAACGATAATTGAAATTGGCATTATAGTTTATAGTATAATAGGCATTCATATAGTAATATAGGATAGATAGGTAATGTATTAAATTAATTTAAAGTAAATGTAATTCTTCTTCTAGGTAATGTATTAAATTAATTTAAAGTAAATGTAATTCTTCTTCGACTTAAGTCATACGTAAAGACTAGTCCTTACTAGTTAGTAGTCGTAGTTGTAGGTAGAAGTAAATATTGTTAAATTATAATTTATTAATTATTCATTGTCTTAGTCTTGATTAAAAGATTTTAGTAGCAGCATATTTATTTGGTTTAAGTTTTTTTCTTATGTTTATTTTTGTCCCTCCCCAGAAATGTTTGAATTAAAGTAAGGCTGTAAGGGGAAAAGAAAGGTGGGGAGAAGAGCAGTAAAATAAACAACTTAAGATGAAATCTTTTACTTACTTGGACAGTTATCATCCAAAGGCCAAAGGCCTTTTAGTTTTAGCTATCTCTTTTGATTACAGATGGTATGAAAAACATAAATTACAAACAAGTTTTGTGAAAATTGGAACAGTGACAACAATGATGATTCTGCTCAATCCTTTCTTATTGAAATTTAAAAAAAAAAAATTGTATTTGAAAAATTACAAAAAAAGTTATTGAAAAGCCCTTTTTTAAATGTTTTAAGATGTGGCATGACCATAGGCCTATTAAAATGATAAACAGTGAAGATAAGTGTAGCCTAGTAACCTGTAGTTAATTGATTAGTAGGCAGTAACAAGATAGGGGCCATCAAGTCCAAAGACACTAAATAAAAAGAAAGGGGCCAGGAGGACTTTCAAATTTCAAAGATCGGAAGAATTATGTACAAAGTTCTTCTAAATAATTAATCGGCCTATATTAGGATATAGAAATGACAGTGACTCACAGTCACAGTGTGATGTGTCAACAGCGTAATAAAAGTAAAATCTATTTTTTCATAATAAAGTTCATGCAGCTAACAAATGCCCCATTCTATTGATTGAGTAACTGCCACAGATGTTACTTAAAATCAAATTTGATTTGGCTAGAAAAATACTGCACATTTTAGTTAATAAAAATGTTAATTAGATGTCTTAGATCAATTTTAAATTTCAGCCTAGTTCAAGTTGAAGGCTTGTCTTTTATTTAATGGGCTTTTTGTGTGTGTTCTCCTGGTCAAAGCTAGATGTAGATATAATTGATATACTCTTTCGTTCATAATATTTAAGCTCTTATGAAAGGAGCAAAGGTAATCAATGATTTTATAGTTTGTGTGGGGCTGCAGAGTGAAGCATTAGATCAGGACTTTAAACTTTTTGTGCGGAAAAATAATAGTGTTCCTCTTCATTTAAGGCCATATATTAAAAAAATAGGGCATTTTGTTTTGTTGTTAAAACTTGAAGGATTGCTAACAAATTGTACTTTTGGTGGATATTTTACATTTGGTGGATATATTACTTTTTAGCCAATAAAAACAAAAGTCAGCGGACCAGGATTGTTTTTATTCTTCCACCCACTTTTACTGGGGAGGCATTGTGGGGAGGATTCGTTGTCGATCTGCCCCAAGGTATGAGACTCGCTAAAGGTTCTTGTTGTAGACTTTGAGGATATCATTAATGCAGTCAATCCACCACCAGTGTGGTCTTCATCTGGGTCTGAAACTGGAGTCGGTTTGAAGTGCAGGCTGATTGACAAGCATTCTGACCAGATGGCCAAATTATTTAATTAGCCGTTGAGCCATACATTGACTTAATCGAATTGCACCAACCATTAGTCTTATTATCTGGCCCCTTCTTGTTTTACCAGTTGCCCACCTTTAATCTCTGACCTAAAGTTTTTTTTCTCTGTATATTTATTCAGTACCCAGGTCACTGGTAAAAAGGGTTGGAATAAAGACATTGTGTTGTAGGGTTTGGATGCATCGGCCATCTGCACATAGAATTGTGTTGTGTGGCTTGGATGCATTGGACATCAGCACATAGCGTTGTGTGGCTTGGATGCATTGGACATCTGCACATAGCATTGTGATGTGTAGCTTGGTATTCAGCTTGGCATCCTTTGTTATTGTGTGAGTGTAAATGAGCCAGGATTAAACTTAATTATTTGTGATAATTTCTTAAGCTCTCTGCATTAGTCATTTATCTTAAGAGATACTTTAAACTCAGGTCACTGGTCAAAAATTTAAGTCACCAACAGCCATGCATTAGTCATTCATCTTAAGAGATACTTTAAACTCAGGTCACTGGTAAAAAATTTAAGTCACCAACAGCCATGCATTAGTCATTCATCTTAAGAGATACTTTAAACTCAGGTCACTGGTCAAAAATTTAAGTCACCAGCAGCCATGCCATTATGATTCATCTTAAGAGATACTTTAAACTCAGGTCACTGGCCAAAAATTTAAGTCACCAGCAGCCATACATTAGTACACTAGCCAGCTTGGCAGAATTATTGAAAGTCATGGTATTTCCCGCAAATTGTTTGCAGATGACACAGAACTATACTAGTGTTTCCGCCCTGATCCGTTGGAGTGTGCTTTGAAAGAATGGATGTCATCAAACAGACTAAAATTAAATAACGATAAGTCTGAGGCAATTATTTGTGGTTCGGACGCCAATCTTCTGAAGGTTTCCATCGCATCAATAAAAATTGGTTAATCTGAGATCCCGTTATCCTCCACTGTCAGAGACCGTGCCTTTTTTATTGACAGTAAACTTAGCATGATTCCCCATATCAGCTCTGTCATCAGGGCATGCTTCTGTCATCTGCGCGCCCTGGGTCAGCTGCGTCCTCGGTCAGCTGCGTCCTCAACTCAATAAGAGAACATCCAATGCCATGGCAGTAACTCTCATCCAGTCAAGATTAGATTACTGTAACAGTTGTTTGTGGGGTTTACCTCAAAACCAAATTCAGAGACTCCAAAAGTTGCAGAATACTGCAGCACTTATTGTATCGCGAATAAAGAAATCTGACCACATCACACCAGTTCTTAGAGATCTCCATTGGCTTCCTGCAAGTGAGCGCATTGACTACAAAATTCTGTCCACAGCGTACAGCTGTATAGATGGGTCAGCACCGGAATACCTTAAAGAATTGATTTCTAAACATGTATCCTTAAACAACCTACGGTCTTCAACACAGTCCTTACTGAGAGTTCCCAGTGTAGATGGACACAGAAAAAAGTCTTACGGAGTGCGCTCTTTTGAAGCAATAGCACCAAAATTATGAAACAGTTTGCCCCAATCCTTGAGGGACATTGACAATGATAAAAAATCTTTTAAGAAACATTTAAAGACTTTTTTGTTTAAATAGCTTTAAGAACATCAGAGCGCTGTGAGCATGCTATAGTAGCATGGATACAAGCGCTATATAAGTATTCAATTCAACATTAGTCATTCATCTTAAGAGATACTTTAAACTCAGGTCACTGGTCAAAAATGAAAGTCACCAACAGCCAAGCATTAGACATAGATCGTAAAAGATACTTCAAAATTATTTCACTGGCCAAAAAATATGTCACCAACAGCCATATATTAGTCATTCATCGTAAGAGATACTTTAAACTCAGGTCTCTGGCCAAAAATATAAGTCACCAGCAGCTAAGTAAGGCTTTGAGGTCCTTAGCTACTGTTTTCTGCTCAGGGCCAAATGCTTGAACTTTTACCATTCTATGATATCAAAGTGAGATGTGCTTCGATGGCTCTAAAAGTAGATTTTGACTGTTTGCTTACAATCTTATAAAATACATCAATGAGAATTTGCTGTGTGGAGAAGGTGGGAATGCATTGTACAGGCCAATACCCAGTGCAAAACTTGATTCCTCAAACCAATAACCAGTTTGCCAAAACAGCTAATATTAACATCCCTGATTTTAATCTCTCATTTTGGGGCTCTAACATTCCTTTATTCCAAATATGCATTAAAATATTCATTTCAACTACTGGCAGCCTAAAATTTCTCTGAATAAATGATAAATTGTGTATGCATTATGATTTGTTCCCTTGCTTTTTAAGTTCTGTATTTTAAGCTCCACTTGAGTAAAGTAATTACTCAAATAAATGTTATTTATAGTGTAGGAAAATTCCCTAATAATTATTTTCTTAAAAAAAATCCATTACAGATTTAGTATTTTGAATGACAAAGCTGCTAAATATAATGCAGCTACCTCTTGACTTCTTCAGAAATGTATTATTGTTGTACAGCATGTGACCAGTGTCCTATTGGTGGCTTAATTTTTTTATTATAAAATGAGATTTAAGTAAATTCAGGCAGATACTTGATTGTGGATTAATAAATATAATTTTGTTGTTTTGCTTTCAGAAAACAAAATGAATTTACTTAATATTCTGTTATTTGGAGTATTATGCATGCTGAAACTGCCATTTGTGGATGCATATCCAGATATACTACTTGTCCGTCCTAAACAAATCCATATTTCATATGGCTGTGAGTAACTTTTAAAAATTTAAGTATTACAAAATAATTTAAAATATTTGAAGAAAGTCTTTCTTCTGATTCATTATGTTAGATTATGTAGGACTCCTTTAAACTGAAGTCTTTGTTATAATTGTATATAAGATTCATTTATTGCTATTTTGATATTGTTGTAGTTTATTATAGTATTTGGGTTTCTTGTCTACAGCAAGCCCACAACAGATGACGGTTGTGTGGAGTCAGATGAACCAAACAAAAGTGAATGTGGTCCGTTATGGCCTGAATGGGATGTTAAACCAACTGAAGCTGGGCAACAGCACCAAGTTTGTTGATGGTGGCACAGAACACAGAACTCAATTCATCAGCAAAGTTTTACTGAATGACCTTGTCCCAGGGAAAATGTACTGTAAGCAAGTTTTTATATAATAAATATTTTAATGACATTGTTTATTAGAAAACTGACTTTCTTATTTCTTTAAGATCGAGGAGGTGAAGAACGAGCAGGAAAGAGAAGAAAACAACTTAAAACAACTTATCTTCTCTTGACTCTGAATGTGCTTTTAAAACGTCTGTTGGCATTCTGTTGACCACATAAGATTAATGTATGTGTTTGTGTTTCACAGCATATGTTGTAGGGAATGAGTACGAGTTTTCCGAGAAGTTTGAATTTCGGGCTATGCCTGAGGGTCAAGAGTGGAGTCCTCGCCTAGCCATCTATGGCGACATGGGCAATGTTAACGCCAGGTCACTCACCAGACTGGAACTTGAGGCTGATAATGGAATGTATGATGCTATCCTTCATGTCGGTGGGTATGCTGCTTTTAAATCTTTTTTAATTTATAAAAACCTCTGTATTCAGACAATTAACACTAATTTGTATCATTTAGTTGAGATTTTAGAAGTCACATAATAAGTATTCGGTACAATCTACCATAATTTAAAGAAATAATATTCCATTACCTTGCAATGTAAAAAAGATAAATATAAATTTATATTAAAAAGTAAAACTGCATTATGTTTTAAAACATCTAACATTGTTTTCAATTGTTTACTTGAAATATTCACAGGTGACTTTGCTTATGACTTTGATGATGTGAGTTCAGTTTTAATTTTATAAATTTTTTTATTCTCTAAAAACTAAAAATTCACCCCAAAATACTTTTTGTTTTATAATAATTTTAACAAAATGGGGTAATAAGGGGAGAGACTGCAATCAGGTTAGCAAAATAGGAAATGAGTACCTTACTTTATTTTAATCATTTCCGATTTTTAAAAAATTGTTTTAACATAACTGACTGCGTTTTTATATGATACTTTAAATTATTAATAATTATTATCTTATTAGGATTTATTAGTTCTAGTCCAAAATTTAGTGGGAGATTTCTTAAAATTGCATCTCTTAAAAACTGATATTGTTGAGTGAATAGCTGATATTTTTTTTGTTTGCTCCACGCTGCTGTGGTTGTAGTTTTTCTTAAAAAATTAATTATTGTTTGTTAGCTCCAAGGTGCTTTGGGTGATGAGTTTATGGAACAGATCCAACCTTTGGCTACCAGAGTGCCCTATATGACTTGTCCTGGAAATCATGAGGAGGCCTAGTAAGCACATTTAAACCTATATTAGATGATGAGGCTGAATGGAAGTAACTTCATACATTTTAGGTGATGAGGCTGAATGGAAGTAACTTCATACATATTAGATGATGAGGCTGAATGGCAGTAACTTCATACATTAAGATTTTTTTTTTTTTAAAATTAATCATGAATTTATAATAAAGTGACATAAAGATGACTGGATATCCTGCATTTTTAACCTCAGGTGAAATATTCTCAAAATATAGAATTTATTGTGATCAAAAGAAAGAAATTATTTTTGTAATGAAAAGATAGAAGTTATTATTGTAATCGAATGATAGAAGTTATTGTACTCAAACGATAGAAGTTATTATTGTAATCAAAAGATAGAAGTTATTATTGTAATCTAAAGATAGAAGTTATTGTAATTCAAAGATATAACTTATTGTAATCAAAAGATAGAAGTTATTGTAATTCAAAGATATAACTTATTGTAATCAAAAGATAGAAGTTATTACTGTAATCAAAAGATAGAAGTTATTGTAATCAAAAGAAAGAAGTTATTGTTGTAATCAAAAGAAAGAAGTTATTGTAATCAAAAGACATGTTATAAAATATACATGGAAACAATACATCTTTGTTTCTAGACCTACGTTCAGTCTGGAGTCCTAGGTAGAAATTTAAATCATACAATTACTCAGCTGATTTCACAGCCACTCCATAGAATGTCCAAAATAATTGTCTGCAGAAATATTTTTTTGGCTTACATTTGTCTGTTTTGTTTTTCAACTCCTCTCCAGCAATTTCTCCCACTACAGAAACAGATTTGCCATGCCAGGAGATGAAGGTCAGATGTACTATAGGTATGAAGTTTCTGTTGTAACTGGTTAACTACCATGAGCCGGTGGGAGCGGCTTGGCGTTTCTTTCATTATGGCCACGAGCCGCTGGTAGCGCCAATGTTTGTATCATAGTAAATCGAGTCAAATATTTATAATATTCCGTTCCTGTTTTGCTTCGAGATTTTAATTTACCGACATGATGTTTATATTCAAACCGCATGCTATCGGCAGAATGTTTAAAAAAAACGAGATGCTAAATAATTTTGATTTAATTATTTTCAAGCTAGTTACAAAATTGTACACAAAATTGCACTAATTGTTTACCGTGACAACAAGGGATAGTGTTACTAAAGGCATACAAGTGATTGGAAGTGTAAATATTATTCAATTTCTGTGTTCTTTGGTGCATTTTTCTTATTATTGGATATACTATCTTGAACTCACCAAATATTATTAATGGTGAAACCTAAGTACTTATATGCCTCTACTTTTTAAAAATAATATCCAAGCTTGAATATTTAAATTTACACCTAGCGAGGAAAGTTTCTTTATCATAAGGTTTGGTTGGATAGAGTTAAATGCTGATGAGAAGTCTAAGAATAGCAATCTTGACATATTTTTTAGGACTGTAGTTCTATTATTAATTTTTTATGTTGTTGCAAGTTACCTTATTTTTCTTTGGAATTGGTATGATTTCTGAAGTTTTCCAAATTGAAAGCCTACTTAATTTCAGTATTACCTGCTGGTGTGGGAATTCAACGTCTGATATTAAACGCCGCTTAAACCGACTAATCAAGAAAGCTAGGAATATAAACATCCTTCACTTGAAGAACTATTTGAAGAAAGATATTATTGTAAAACTAAACACATTTTAGATGATATATCCCACCCTCTTCGTCACAGATACTTAGGATCAGCCCGTTCGGGATGTATTCTTTCCATCACTGCGAGGACTGAAAGATATAAAAATTATTTTGTTCCCCAATCTGTATGAATTTACCAGCGTGCTCCCCCTGAAGTAACAAATCTTAATGAGAACTAATAAGTCCCTGATATGGCTAAGAGAACTCATTGAATGGCTGAAAAGAATCTTATTTTATCTTATAAAAGGCTTTAAATATTTTGGAAATTTAAAATTTATACGTAAGTTCACATTTATATATTTTTTATTTTTCTGTTGTAAATACTAATTTAACAATTAATAATTTCCCAACAAAGCTTAACTTTACAAATTTTAAGTTAATCTTATAGACAATTTATTTACCTACCAAATGGTTTATTAATTATCAGAATATCTTTATAATTAAGAAAAATGCAGCTGAATTTGTACTTACACCTAACATTAGAAAATGTGACCTAGATTTAATTCGGCCACAGCAGTTTTTTCAATCTGGAAGCTAATCAGTTAATCTCTGTATTAATCTTGAGTTATTTTTAGGGATCACATTATCCCAATCAAATAATTGACCAAAATAAATTGCTCAAATAGAAAATTAAATAATTGACATATATGGCCTTATTAATCAAATGATTATGGATATTTATTTTTCACTTGTAATTTTAAAGCCTTGGGATCACAGCTTCTTTAATTTTATTTCAGATTGCCACATGTGGCAAACGCCGATTTTATATTTCCTTGTAGATATAAAATTAGCCGTCCATTGAATTATGAGAGCTTGTAACATGCATCAGTTTTTCTGCAGCTCATCTTTGAAAGTTGATTTTTATAAAAATGATTATTTCCCCGTTAGTTTCAACATGGGACCGGTTCACTTTGTCTCTGTGTCCACGGAGCTCATTTTCTTTTGGCATTACGGACCTATGCAGGTGTTCTGGCAGTACGAGTGGCTCAAGAGAGATCTAGAGGTGAGATAACATGGATGTCTTGTACGTGGTTCATGCTTATCTTCACGGCCTCTATCTTGATTGGACTGTGTATTTATTTCATCAAGTTGTGAAGAAACTGAGATTATAGTGACAGTGGTTCTTTAATGTTCATTCTCTGTTTATTGAACCACATGTTTTACATTGACGGACTGCCATTGTTTATATTATACTTTGAGCTTACAACCTTTGACAGATCTACATAAATTTTACACTTTAATAGCATTCTATAATGATTCTCTTGTGTAAGCATTAAAAGTAGAATCTCCAAAACTTGTCGTATGGAACAGCAACTAAAGATGAGTTTTACATGAGCTACTGAGTTTTACATCAGTGCCCTGTAGTAAGAGTATATTAGTACTACTGAGTTTTACACCAAGTGCCCTGCAGGAAGAGTATATTAGTACTACTGAGTTTTACACCAAGTGCCCTGCAGGAAGAGTATATTAGTACTACTGAGTTTTACACCAAGTGCCCAGCAGGAAGAGTATATTAGTACTACTGAGTTTTACACCAAGTGCCCTGCAGGAAGAGTATATTAGTAACTCTTAGATTTCCTAAGAAGAAACATGGTTTTGTTTTGTTTATAAAATGATATTTGTTGAACATTTACTTTGTCAATTTATAACTTTAAAATGTTTTATCATTTGACCAATGTCACCGTAGGAAGCCAACAAACCTGAGAATAGGGCCAAGCATCCTTGGGTTGTGGTGTTCGGGCACCGCCCCATGTACTGCTCCAGTGATGACACTGATGACTGTACCAAATTTGAAAGCATTGTAAGCTATCAACCCATTGAAAGCTGATGTGGCTTTTCTTTCTTGATTTTTTTTTTTCATTTTGTTTGCGTTTTTTTTGTGTGCATGATTTGTTTGCTCAATGGCTCGGACCTTTTTGCTAGTGTAGGAAGCCAACAAACCTGAGAATAGGGCCAAGCATCCTTGGGTTGTGGTATTTGGGCACCGTCCCATGTACTGTTCCAGTGACGGTACGGATGACTGCACCATGTCAGAGAGCATTGTAAGCCAACTTTTAACTTTAGGAGAATTAAAATGGTATAATTTATCATTATAAACATAAATTAGAAGGTGGAATATCTATATAGTTTTATAATAAAAATAATTTTAGAAATCTTACTTTATAATATTTTTTGTGATATTTTTATTTAATGAAACTCTTTGCCATAATTTACACAGTTAAAGAAAGAGTGGTGTTGGTCTTACTTATATTAACTTGAGCCACAATTTAGACAGTTGAAGAGTAGTATTGGTCTTATATGAGACACTTGTAATATCAGAAGTCAGAAATATTTAACATTATATTTGCTTTTTAAACATATATATAAATCAAACATTTGTTTTCGCTATTTATCCTCAATGCTTGCTTTTATTTTGGTAGTCATTATACTAAGCCTACATTTTTTTGAACTTCAGCTTTTCCCACTGGCTAAAATAGCCCTATAATTTCAATGTCTTTTCCCACTGGCTAAAATAGCCCAATAATTTCAATGTCTTTTCCCACTGGCTAAAATAGCCCAATAATTTCAATGTCTTTTCCCACTGGCTAAAATAGCCTTATAATTTCAATTTCTTTTCCCACTGGCTAAAATAGCTCAATAATTTCAATGTCTTTTCCCACTGGCTAAAATAGCCCTATAATTTCAATGTCTTTTCCCACTGGCTAAAATAGCCCTATAATTTCAATGTCTTTTCCCACTGGCTAAAATAGCCCTATAATTTCAATGTCTTTTCCCACTGGCTAAAATAGCCCTATAATTGCAATGTCTTTTCCCACTGGCTAAAATAGCCCTATGATTTCAATGTCTTTTCCCACTGGCTAAAATACCCCTATAATTTCAATGTCTTTTCCCACTGGCTAAAATAGCCCCATAATTTCAATGTCTTTTCCCACTGGCTAAAATAGCTCTATAATTTCAATGTCTTTTCCCACTGGCTAAAATAGCCCTATAATTTCAATGTCTTTTCCCACTGGCTAAAATAGCCCCATATTTTCAATGTCTTTTCCCACTGGCTAAAATAGCCCTATAATTTCAATGTCTTTTCCCACTGGCTAAAATAGCCCTAATGCCCTTAAATTTCAATGTTCAGCTTTTTTCAGTTGTTTATTTTGTTCTAAAAGTTGTTAATTAAATTTGTCATTTTGAAGACAAAAAAGAAAGGATCATCCCATTTATTGATTACAAGTTTACAATGATGATAAAAAAAAATAGCTGTATATGTAATTGTTTTCGGTTATATATTTTTTACTTTAACTGCTAATAATAGAGAGATCAGATAAACTTAGTCTAAGGCTTTAATTATAAATATGAAATATAATCGGCTCATGAAATAAAGTGACATAATTCATTTCATAAAATAAATAAAACCCATTTATCCCCCTTTCTTTCAGACCAGGAAAGGTGTACCAGTGCTACACATATTTGGCTTAGAAGATGTCTTCTATGACAATGGCGTTGATTTAGCTATCTGGGCCCACGAACATTCGTATGAGCGTCTGTGGCCCCTGTATGATAGAAAGGTGGGTTTTTTTTGTGTGTGATCTTAATAAAGTGCTTGTTCAAGTTTATAATATTTATGGCAAGGGCTTCTTGTGACAGAGTGTTATAGTGGACTAGACCGTCCTGATAGCCAAGTAGGTCAAACAGCGCGCATGCAGAGAGCGCAGAGACTGTAGTGAAAGTTTATGAATGAACAGTGTGTTCCGGAATCAAGCAGAGAGTCAATACTTTTGAGAACTTGTATTTATGTAGATTTATGTTAATGTTTATTGTTGGAAATAAAAACATAGAAAACATAACACAGATTGACAGTTATGGCAAGGGCTTCTTGTGACAGATTGACAGTTATGGCCAGGGCTTCTTGTGACAGAGTGATAGTTATGGCCAGGGCTTCTTATGACAGAGTGACAGTTATGGCCAGGGCTTCTTGTGACAGAGTGACAGTTATGGCCAGGGCATCTTATGACAGTGACAGTTATGGCAAGGGCTTCTTGTGACAGAGTGACAGTTATGGCAAGGGCTTTTTGGGACAGAGTGACAGTTATGGCAAGGGCTTCTTGTGACAGAGTGACAATTATGGCAAGGGCTTCTTGTGACATAGTGACTGTTATGGCAAGGGCTTCTTGTGACAGAGTGACAATTAAGGCAAGAGTTCTTCTGACAATAAGACTGACAAGTTTGTTTGTCCAGTATTAATGCATTAACTGAACTTAGTGACCCATCTGATTGTCCTCTGTTGCTATCATCCAAACTATCTCAAGTATGTGTGTGCTATTGCTATCATTCAAACTGTCTCAAATATGTGTGTGTTATTGTTAACATTCAAACTGTCTCAAATATATGTGTGTTATTGTTATCATGCAAACTGTCTCAAATATGTGTGTGTTATTGTTATCATTCAACCTGTCTCAAATATATGTGTTATTGCTATCATCCAAAGTGTCTCAAATATGTGTGTTATTGTTATCATTCAAACTGTCTCAAATATGTGTGTGTTATTGTTATCATCCAAAGTGTCTCAAATATGTGTATGTTATTTTTATCATTCAAACTGTCTCAAATATGTGTGTGTCATTATTATCATTCAACTGTCTCAAATATGTGTGTGTTATTGTTATCATTCAACCTGTCTCAAATATATGTGTTATTGCTATCATCCAAACTGTCTCAAATATGTGTGTGTTATTGTTATCATTCAAACTGTCTAAAATATGTGTGTGTTATTTTTATCATTCAACCTGTCTCAATTATGTGTGTGTTACTGTTATCATTCAATCCGTCTCAATTATGTGTGTTATTGTTATCATTCAAACTGTCTCAAATATGTGTGTGTTATTGTTATCATTCAACCTGTCTCAAATATATGTGTTATTGCTATCATCCAAATTGTCACACATATGTGTGTGTTATTGTTATCATTCAAACTGTCTCAAATATGTGAGTGTTATTGTTATCATTCAAAGTGTCTCAATTATGTGTGTGTTATTGTTGTCATTCAAACTGTCTCAAATATGTTTGTGTTATTGTTATCATTCAAACTGTCTCAAATATGTGTTATTGCTATCATCCAAAGTGTCACAAATATGTGTGTGTTATTGTTATCATTCAAACTGTCTCAAATATGTGTGTCTTTTGTTATCAACCAAAGTGACACAAATTTGTGTGTGTTATTTTTATCATTCAAACTGTCTCAAATATGTGTGTGTCATTGTTATCATTCAAACTGTCTCAAATATTTGTGTGTCATTGTTATCATTCAAACTGTCTTAAATATGTGTGTGTTATTGTTATCATTCAACCTGTCTCAAATATATGTGTTATTGCTATCATCCAAAGTGTCACAAATATGTGTGTGTTATTGTTATCATTCAAACTGTCTCAAATATGAGTGTTATTGTTATCATTCAAAGTGTCTCAATTATGTGTGTGTTATTGTTATCATTCAAACTGTCTCAAATATGTGTGTGTTATTGTTATCATCCAAAGTGTCTCAAATATGTGTATGTTATTTTTATCATTCAAAGTTTCTCAAATATGTGTGTTATTTTTATCATTCAACCTGTCTCAATTATGTGTGTGTTATTGTTGTCATTCAATCTGTCTCAATTATGTGTGTTATTGTTATCATTCAAACTGTCTCAAATATGTGTGTGTTATTGTTATCATTCAAACTGTCTCAAATATGTGTGTGCTATTGCTATCATCCAAACTGTCTCAAATATGTGTGTGTTATTGCTATCATCCAAACTGTCTCAAATATGTGTGTGCTATTGCTATCATTAAAACTATCTCAAATATGTGTGTGTTATTGTTATCATTCAACCTGTCTCAAATATATGTGTTATTGCTATCATCCAAAGTGTCACAAATATGTGTGTGTTATTGTTATCATTCAAACTGTCTCAAATATGAGTGTTATTGTTATCATTCAAAGTGTCTCAAATATATGTGTGTTATTGTTATCATCCAAACTGTCACAAATATGTGTGTGTCATTGTTATCATTCAAACTGTCTCAAATATGTGTGTTATTGTTATCATTCAACCTGTTTCAAATATGTGTGTGTTATTGTTATTCAAACTGTCTCAAATATGTGTTTTGCTATTGCTATCATCCAAACTGTCTCAAATATGTGTGTGTTATTGCTATCATCCAAACTGTCTCAAATATGTGTGTGCTATTGCTATCATCCAAACTGTCTCAAATATGTGTGTGCTATTGCTATCATCCAAACTGTCTCAAATATGTGTGTGCTATTGCTATCATCCAAACTGCCTCAAATGTGTGTGTGCTATTGCTATCATCCATAGTGTCTCAACTATGTGTGTGCTATTGGTATCATCCAAACTGTCTCAAATATTTGTGTGTATTGCTATCATCCATAGTGTCTCAAATATGTGTGTGATATTGCTATCATCCATAGTGTCTCAAATATGTGTGTGTTATTGCTATCATCCATAGTGTCTCAAGTATTTGTGTGTATTGCTATCAACCATAGTGTCTCAAATATGTGTGTGATATTGCTATCATCCATAGTGTCTCAAATATTTCTGTGTTTCCTCTTTCCTTATAATGAGAATCAAAAATTAACTATGGCACTATAAATAACTTTAAGCAATAATGATTTCAGTTAAATTGCTACATTTAATTACATTTAATTTCAAGTTATTTTACATTGGATTCATTTTATTCACTGAATATTGTTATTCTCTTATAAACCATTTTATTTTTAACTTTTGGATGACTTTAAAGTATGAACTTTTATTATCGTCTCAGACAATGTCAAGGTTTGAAATGGCTTTCTGTGTCTCAGGTGATAAAGGTTTGAAATGACTTTCTGTGTCTCAGGTGATGAATGGCAGTTACGAAGATCCCTACACTGATCCTAAAGGGCCTGTACATATCATCACAGGATCTGCGGTATGGACTCGTTTCCCTACAAAATGTTATGTCACCATAACAGCTGCATTCAAATATAGCGATAGAACATTTCAAAGCAAAATATTGGACTTGTTCCTGATCTAATCACGGGAAAATCAGCTTTTAGCTATGATTAGAAAAACCATCTGTCTTTATTTAAACAAAAGCAGGGTTTCATTGGTTTTGAACTGTTTCTACATTTTTTGTTTAAAAAGACAAAACGTTATAATTATTTCATTAAAATTGAATCATAAGTCATTAACTATGCATATCCTAAACTTAAAAGATGTTTGTTTTTTTTGTTTTTTTTTTTTTCAACTTTTCTATTACAAAGTTGTAATACTATCCTATACCCAATACTATTTTAATAACATCTTCCAGGGTTGTCGTGAAAATGTCTCTGGATTTGTGCCGAAGCCCCCAGAATGGTCAGCCTTCCACAGTATGGACTATGGCTACACTAGAATGCATGTACTTAACAAAACTCATATGTACTTGGAACAAGTGTCAGATGAGAAGGTCAGGGAAACGGATGTGGACATTATTTTAGACATTTTGTATTAAAGAGTTTTTGTGGTAACTAAAGAACAGATGGGGGTTTTTTCTTCGAAATATTCATTCTAATTCTAATTAGGAAATGGGAACAAATATTACTTCCGCTTGTGCAGTGCACAGCGTTCTGAAATCATTAAGAGTTGTGTCAAGAGGTGAGCAAATCGTGTAGAGACATGTCGCGCAGTCGATGATAGGATGAAGGGAATAGTTTCAATATAATAATAGAATATTTTGAATTTTTACACTATGGCTTGTAAACAACTTGTAATATCTGTATATCTCTACACATCTACATAAAATACTTATGATGGGTCCAGCAACAACTTGTAATATCTGTATAATCTCTACATATCTACGTAAAATATTTATGATGGGTTCGGCAAACAGTCTACCCAAAGATCTGCTTGTGAGAAATATATCCTCCTAATAAGTCTCTCTCTGTAACAATTAGTGCACATCTCCCTCCTGCTATTTCTCACTACTATATATATCTCCACCACTTGTTCATCACGCCAACTATCAACTATCAGGATCAAACTCATAGCTTGTATTGGAGTTCACTATTACTTCTAGTTCCACTGAGCTATTATTCATGATACAATGATATCAGAGCGCTTTCAGCATGCTAGATACAAGCGCTTTAGAATCAATCATCATCAATAAATTCAGTGGTTCAAATACTTGACAAAGAAAAAACAAAATCCTATTGTCATCATCATTTAATTTTAAGTTTTCATTTCAGGATGGCCTGGTGATAGATAAATTTACCATCATCAAAAACTGGCATGGATCATATGATAAGTCTGGAATAAAGAGATCAAAAGACCTTCCCAAGTCACTAACTCGGGCTGGGTACAATGCTGGATACAGAAGGGATCATGGACTTTGAAAATATTTTGTATCTTCCTACAACTGTATCAAACATCTGGTCTTCTGCTCAAAGTGTGTCAGTCAATGATCAGCAGAAGTAAAAGAAGTGCTTATTGCTTCATGGTTAACTTCTCCATTCCATAAATATATTTTTTTACAATTGTTAAATATTTCATACCTGTTTCACAGATTTTTTAAATGTGTGTTGACAAAAGTTTAATTCAATAGTAAAATACACATTGAGACAAAGAGTTACACTGCAGCAGTAACTAGTGTCAAAAATAATTTTGGATACAGTGTGTATAAAAAAAATACTCTCTTAGTTGTGTTTTTTTCTTTTCATTTCTTGTATGCTATGCTTATATTGGAATTTCTATGCACTTGACTTTTTCCTCAGTATCTCTTGTCTAAAATCATATCACTAGTCGGTCTTACTATTGAAGTTTTATTCACTTTTACAGTATAATTTCAAGTTTTATCAAAGATATAAGATGCTTAAGAGATGAAGAATACTGTTACTGTTATTACAGTACATTAATTTGGAAAAGAATTTGAAAACTTTTGATAACGCTGCTTAACATAGCATTGAATCTGAAGGCCTCAAACGATGTTGTTCAACATTGATGAAACATATGCACTCTTTTATATTTGTATAAGATCTGTTTATACATATGCCAACATTTTTTATAAATTTAACATATAATTGACATTGTTTGTCCTGATTTTATTTATTTATTTCGTTTCCTACAGGCATTAAAAGAATCATGTTTTAATCGCTGAAGTCTTTCAGTTTTTACCCATCTCTGTAATGCACATTAAAAATCTACAAATTTAAAACTTCTAGTTTTTTTTAATCATTTTGCCTTTAGATCATGTGCTCATGGTGGAATGGAATAATGTTTCTGTACAAAAATAACAATTAAGTAATTGGAATAAAACAAAAAAATTACTTTTTTATGCTTTATTCAAGTATAAAGTATTCAGTTGACAAGAACAATACTGGTAGCAAAAATAATGTAATGCTAACAAGATCAGAAGTTAAAGGTACAAAGAAGAATCATGCCTGACATGTGACCTTTGACTTCGTAGATTTGTTTAGAGTTGTGCACATAACAACCTCAAGTTCAGTTGGGAATAACAAGAATTCCATTTTATCCCAGGTAATGTCACTATTACTATAGTTCAGTTGGGAATAATTATAAATCAATTTTATCCCAAATAATGTCATGGTTAAACAATAATTTATTACTTGAAAAATCAAATGTATCATCTTTAGAATATATAAATTATACAAATTAAGTACATACATACATGCAAGTTGTCTGGTACAAAAACAGAATTGCAATTTTAACACTTCTTAAATGAATACAATATTTCATTTTTCTGTACACCAAACATTTTATTTTTTATAATCTTTCAGTCCTCTAATTTTCATATTTTACAAAATATGACTCTTCAAAAAATCAAATTCTTATTTATGTGTCTTAGAATGTGTCTAAGGACGTGTCTTATGGCCTTATACAGAGGCTGGTGGTTATTGCACATTAAGTGAAGTAAGAGGTTAAAAAATATACATATATATATAGTCAGACCAATGGAATGTTTTAGTTGGTGATGACACAACCATTCATAAAGGATTATTCACTCTTCTTGGAATATGAGCTGTGGTGGTCCCTAATAAGAGTGAAATGATCCAAAATTCGACCATTCTGAAAAAAATAAGATAAAAATTTGGAATAATAAATACGATTGATAATTTTTAAAAAATAAAAATTGAATAAATTGATAGTCTAAAGAATATCCTCCTCAGTGGTTTCCAATTTATTTTAATCTGAAAGATTTATGTTTGCATAAGGTCATCAAATACAGATATAAATTATTATGCTGAGAGTTATTTATAACCATGATACGAATTTAATAAAAAATGTTTATCTCTTGTAACTATCGTCACTATCAATTATCTGACATAATGAGAAGATTAACTGCCACATGCTCAGTCCGTTATGTTAAAATGTGCATTAAAAATACACAACAAAGATTTAATGATCAAGCATGGATGGAAAATGAGGTTCTTGTAATAAATTACACAGCCACAATGCTATTTGTAACAGACCCCAAACCAAAATAAAATTAGGTGTCTGCACATAAAATATAGATATATATATATATTATATATGGTGTAAATATATGGTGATGGGTGGTCGAGAGGTCAAAACCAAGTCAATCCCAACAGTGGATTGGAGTGCAATCCCCAGCATAGCCTACTCAAGCCAAAACACCACCAGCATCCAGGGTGGATAGGACTCTATAAACCAGTATGGCAACTCATCTAAGGGATGGCAACTCATATAAGAGAAGGCAACTCGTCTAAGAGAAGGCAAACTGAGTTCAAACCCGGAGATGGAGTCTAAGTCTAATGAGATGGAGTCTAAGGAGATGGAGTCTCCAGAGATGGAGTCTGGGGAGAAGGAGTCTCAGGAGATGGAGTCTAAAGAGATGGAGTCTGATGATTGGAGCAACTATCCCTCACTAAACAAAATACAGCTGAGGTCAAGGCTATAACTCATCTTTGCATGCGAGGAACGAACAATAATAAATTATATATATTGGCACATTTGACATGTCACATTTCAGTAAATAATATATCAGTTATAAGCTGGTTTTTATATTTTGCTGGAATTCAATTTTCAGCATATTATACTAAAGATTTTATGGTACACAACATTACCTGAGTATCAGACACTTGTTCAAAATAGAGATGGGTCTTGTTGAGTGCCCTCATGCGGGTGAAGCCATAGTCGCTGTTGCGGTATGCCGACCAGGGAGGGGGGTTTGTTTCAAAATGTTCATGACCTTCACTGCAACCCTTATTAAGTACAAAGAGATTATAGGATGTTAGAGATTATAGGATGTAGGAAATTATAGGATATAGGAGATTATAGGATGTAAGATCGTTGCATGCTTATCTTATGTACTTAGGATGTCAGATTATTGCATGCCTATCTTTTTATTCTTATAAACTGTCATTGATAATAAGCATGCGATCTTAAATACTTTCAAATTATAATGAAATGTCACATTAAGAATTGGCGTCAGCGGGCCGTCGAGCTAATGCTCTTTATGCCCTCCCCAAAGCACCTTGTGGAGATGACTCTTTGCCAGGACAGCTCCCACCCTAGTCCGCTCGATCGGATTCCCCTGGGGGCCGCCCAAACCCAAAGACACCCGGTCGGCCCAACACTGTGTTTGCACAGAGTGCACACGATCAACTTTATCAGGGGTCGGGTTGGTAAATTTACGCCCTAATATCTTCCCTCACCCATCCCGGGGAAGCGTTGGACACTTTAAGAGGGTTTCTACAGTGGGTTTCCATGACGCAACTAATTTGCAAAGTATAATAAAAATTCCTCCCTTAAATACTTACAATAAAATAATTCTTAACTATAACAACTTCGTAAAAACAATTTTTCAGTTACCTATAGTTATTTTTTTAATTATTAATTAAAACTACAATTTAAGAGGGGGGGGGGGAAGGGGGGGGGAAGGAGGTGAAGGAAAGAATCAAAATCTTACAGCAGATCCAGTAATAATGTGCGTAATGCCACCAGGGTTGGTGTAAGGCTCCTCGTAGCTACCATTCATCACCTATAAGCAGACATTTGCCGCATTTTAACACATTGTAAGTTCATATTTAAGGATGGTAGTGCACTGTTATTAATGAGTTTATTAAATAGCTGATATGCTCTCCACAAATGATACAGCATAAAAGTTCACAAATTTCTTCCACATTAATGAATGACTTCACATGTCAAGTTTCAGCAAGTTATTTATTTGAATATTACAAAGTAGAACAAATTTAAAAAAATAACTAGCCTTCAAATTGTAAACTGGCCACAGCCTCTCGTAAGAATGTTCATGTGCCCAGATGGCAACATCGACTCCAAACTGATGGAACAGGTCTTCGTACCCGTGCACTCCCATGGCATGAACACCAACACGTACCTTTTAATAGAACAAAATTCATGTGTTGTAAGCCCTGAGTAGGTCTCTGAACAAGTTTTGGTGAGAAACTGTCCTAACAAAAATAAGTTCCATAGAGATAGTACTGAAAGGTGAAGAACTTACCAAACTTTCATTGCTTGTACAGTCATCGTTGTCATTGTTGGAGCAGTACATGGGGCGATGGCCAAAAGTTATGATCCACGGACGCTTCTCTCTGTTTTCGGGTTTACTAGCTTCCTGCAGTCAAAGAGAAAAGTTGTCATAATATAAAAACTGATCTGGCTTTGAGCTTTCAAACATTTGAATTATTTATGGAGATATACAACATTTTTAAACCATAAACCAATGAAAAGATCTAATATCTTTATATATCCCCCCCCCCCATACCCACCTCTAATTTCATAGATAAATCTATTACTTGTTTTGTATATATAGTAATTCAGATGTGGTCTCTTCAAATCGGAGTTAAAAATCAGTAAATATTTCAAATTATATTTGCTAACATGCATAACTGTACATCAAAATAGTTTCTTAAACATAGTGATGTTTACAAAATAGTTGTGTGGACATGGTGAGCATTTATTGTAAAATAGTTGTGTGGATGTATTAATTGTTTTAAAAAATGTGATCCTTACTGTAAGATCTTTCTTAACCCACTCATATTGGTCCTCAATCTGATCAAATCCAAAATGTGGAAAGTAGAAAAACTCGGTAGAGATTGAGACAAAATGGATTGGTCCCATGTTAAAACTGGAAGAAAAATACAAGAACATAAAAATATGTATAACATGATGTATAACATGATGTATAACAATGATGTACAACATGATGTACAACATGATGTACAACATGACATACAACATGAAGTGATGAACTTAATTTGCTTTTCTTTTTTAATTAGGTGAATGATTAAAATGGGTGTCTAGCTTTGTCAAATAATTTCTAGCTATAAAAACTTTGTTATTTAAAAACAAAACTTTTAGCTATAAAAACTGATTGTTTGTTTTTGAGGCTGTGAAAAAGTCTAAATGCTTTTTTTGAAGAATATTTCTTGAGCTGTGTAACTTAGAAAAGGATGGTTTATGCAATTATTGGATCTTTCCCATAAGAAATATGCTCTGATGGGAGGACATATGACATACTAAGGAAATGCAACTGCTCATGGCCGAGGGGAGAGATCTCAACAGATAATATATATGTTTATGGTAGGGAGAAGATAGCTCAGGCTCAAGAGGTATAAAAAGATATCAGACCTGTTTACCCTCAAACTCTTAAAATCGTACAATATCATCACAATATCATTCAATGCATTATCTTAATAGTAAAAAATAAACATACAGTATATATAATGTATACACCGGAAAATCGTACATTGTACGCCAAAATTGTAAGAGTAAACAGGTCTGAGATATGTTCATCGCAGGGAGGAAAGATCAACAGATATAAATATTTATTTCACTTCAAATGTTATTAAATCATAGGTGCTATCCACATAACTTGATTTGCTTCCCTGCTTTAATTTGATGTTTATTTTATTTATTAGGTGTAATGCCATGCAGCCTTGATAGAGTTGCTTTTCTTTTCTAATTACGTTTCTTTAGGTTTAATTATGTTCCTGAGACCAAGTGGGGGCAAACAATCAATATTTCAATACACATACCTGAAGTAAAAATCCTTGAACCAAACAATCAATATTTCAATACACATACCTGAAGTACATATATGAGACCAAACAATCAATATTTCAAGACACATACCTGAAGTACATATATGAGACCAAACAATCAATATTTCAAGACACATACCTGAAGTACATATATGAGACCAAACAATCAATATTTCAAGACACATACCTGAAGTACATATATGAGACCAAACAATCAATATTTCAAAACACATACCTGAAGTACATTTTCCTGTTATCATTGGGCATGTTAAAGATTGATCTGTATTTGCTGAAGTTGCTGAAAGAAGATTTTTATCAAATTAAATTGTTCTCATAATACATTGTGTTGTTTTTTTTTCAAAATTCTTTTCTAGGATTACTTAATTATTGGCCTTCTGGAAGTACGTTTGTCTTACGGTGAAAGTTTCACAAGATTAAAAAAATTAATATCAACATGGAGCTTTCACTCACTAGTAGTTTTCATGATTGCCAACACAAGTCATATATGGTAGGCTGGATGCCAGGGGTTCAATTTGTTCCATGAAACGGTCGCCAACTCTTCCATCATCCTGAAATAAAATTATGATCATTTCGGGTTAGCTTTCAATATATGCCGATTTTTTGGGTTAGCTTTCAATATATGCCGATTTTTTGGGTTAGCTTTCAATATATGACGATTTTTTAAAACTTAATTTAAATACAATATTTTATGTTTGGAAATTGATTATGTTCAGCTTGCAAATATGGCTTTATGTATTTCTATTTAAGCAATATTTACTTACACCTGTTAGGTCGTATGCAAAGTCACCTGCAATACAATAAATAAAGATTAATTTGTTAATATTTCATTTAATAATAGTATCACATGTAATTTCACACTTAACAAGCCTAAGACTTCTTACAAAAACTAAATTTTACTTTTATAATACATAATATAGGCCTAACAATGACAGTAAGATGTTGATTATCTGAACTAATAGTAGTTTTATCCCACACTCATTTTTAAATCCATATATAAACATGTGTTGTGAATGTTGAGGCCACAGTTAACCACATAACTTATTAAGAGTTACTGTAATATTCATGCCAATAAACATATTTTTTGCTATGTTTTAGTCATGTTTAGTGATGCATATCCATTCACTAAAAATTGGGTTGTGATTCTTGCTCAGCATAAAAAAAAATCCATATTTTTTATAACCGGCTTGTGGGTGTCTTCTTGTATATGTAATTTTAATTCCAATCCTCTTACCAACATGTAGAATAGCATCATACATTCCAACAGCAGCATCATCCCTCTTACCAACATGTAGAATAGCATCATACATTCCAACAGCAGCATCATCCCTCTTACCAACATGTAGAATAGCATCATACATTCCAACAGCAGCATCATCCCTCTTACCAACATGTAGAATAGCATCATACATTCCAACAGCAGCATCATCCCTCTTACCAACATGTAGAATAGCATCATACATTCCAACAGCAGCATCATCCCTCTTACCAACATGTAGAATAGCATCATACATTCCAACAGCAGCATCACTGACAAGTCGAGGGATGGATTGGGCATTTTTGCTTCCCATGTCTCCAAATATTGCTAAACTTGGACTCCAGTCTTCACCAACGGGCATTGTCCTGAAGTGGAAAGTCGAGGACCAGCCCATGGGACTTCCAGCGATGTAGACTGAAAGTTATATTTTTTAAATGTTTATATTTGAGGCGCACTGCAATTGATAGACCTTAAAAAGGATTGTCCCCCTTTTTGTAACCATTTCTTCCACTACATCCTATGTGTATATGTAATACATACATTCATAGTCTGAATGTCATAGAGAAAGCTGCCAAGAGAATTTATAAGATCTGAGATGCATTTCATAATCTTAAAAATAAAGAAAGTTAATTAATTCATTAAGAATTTACACTCAAATTTGTTTAATATAACAAAAGTAACATCAACAAAAATACAACAGCCGATTCTCTCAATTTAAGAATACCAGAAAGGTAAGTTTTATTTTCTTCACATATTTGTTTAAATATTGTTTCACAGCTTTTAATACTTACAGTAGGTGGTGTTTGGTTTTAGGTTTTCAAGGTCAACACGATGAATAAACTGGAAACGTGTTGATTTGCCATCAGCTTCTGTAAACTTTGTACTGTTGCCTTTCTGAGCCAGTGTGAGGTTTTTCACAGAGTCTCCATACTGGACAATGGAGGCGGAGTCATTGATTGTGCTCCAGGTTATTATCATTTTAGAGACATCATCTGGATTTGTTTAAAAATAAAATTAGAAATCTGATCTTTGCATTGATATGATAAGTTTATGTGTTGGTGAGAAGGCATAAACCAGGGATCTGAGGGTCTGCAACCCTTTTTGAGTGAAGATCCATTTTATAAAATATAGCTGAGTATCTGCTCAGAAAACTTTTCTGGAGTGCATTTATTGTAAAAGTTTTCAAAGTAATATTTAATTAGGATTATTTGGATCTCTTTATTTACTTTATTTTATTTCTGAAAGTATAAAACTATTTCTTTGCTGTCTCAAATTAAATATTGAAATTTAGAAGAAGTAAAGATTAATTAGGCTTATAGCCCTTTATTATTTAAATATAATTGCCCTATTTTAAAAATAAATAATCTAAAAGGTGCATATCTAAAAGGCCACTACTTGAAAGTTAATGACACATTCAATTCATGCACACCATCCTATTGCACACCATCCTATTGCACACCATCCTAGGTACACACTTTTAAGACTTAAGTTTTAGACAAAGTCTAAGATTATAAATATATGACAGTCTATACTGTATAGGCTTGGGCATTTACAATTATAAAAAAATGTATTATGCCTACTTTTAATTATAACTTTATATAATAAGCTAAACTTTGCTTTATTCAATTCAAATTTTGAATTTGGGTGCACTCATTGGGGTGACATAGCCAGGGTAACTGACACCAGGGGTAGGGTAAGTCTCCCTCTCCCACCCAGCAGGTCAAGATTTTTGCCGCCCCTACCTGCCTACCTCGAAAAAACTATAAAGAAAAAGTGTTGCCCGGGCAGAATTAGTGTCGGGTCCATACCTCTCATCCTTCCTAAGACAAGCCATTGGACATAAAATATACTTATATACATATAAAAATACATGAATGCTAGGCATAGGCTACTAAATTAAGTTCAACTAAACTATCTGAATTAAACTGTTGAATCTAAACTTAACTAGGATAAGAATGTATTTTACGATATTCATTTTAACAATATTTGCTATCGTTAATAGGCCTATATATAAGAATGAGCTAGGCTCACCATTATGCTAAAGAAAATAAGTGATTTAAATACGTTCGGTTCTTAAAAACAATTATTTATAGTGATTTTCTATTATTTTACAATTTACGGAAATCGAAAAAATTTAAATTAGCAAAAAATAAAATATATCCACTTTTATTTTAGTAAAAGATTAAGTATTATTATTATAAATTACACAAACATTTATGATAACAATCAAGGAACTATTTTAAGCATTTTATCAAAATTTGAAAGTTATGAAAAAGTTTTTAAATCAAAAAATTATAATCTAAGACTACATAATAATCACATTTATCAGGAAAACGAAACATCTGCTATTTTTAGTGCATTTTTTTAGGGCGTTGTTAAATTGCAAAATAAATTAAACTTAATTTGATATAAATAAACACACAAATGACATCATAGCATGAACTGCCTCTAAGTTGCTTTAATTTAATAACCTTGCCTGACAAAACTGAAACAGTGTTTTCCCCTTCTTAAAAGTAAAATAAATAAATATAATTGATTGCTTTTTAAATTGTTAATAAAACACAGCAAATTTTAGCTTTGTATTTTTAACATTTAATAAGTGGGTTTTTTTATTCCAAAAATATACTTTTATTAAATTTATAAAAAAGTAACCTTTAAATATATTTTGAATAAGAAAATGCCCAATTAATTAAATCAGTACAGCGAAACTCCATTGCCAACTAGCATTCACTAATGAAATGCACTTATCACTCATCCAAATAAGAACAAACCATATGAAATGCATAAATTGTGTGATTGGGTATGTAGGGGGCTACTATCCTATGGATGATTTTATTTATTTTTATTAAAATCTGGCGGGTGGGGAATTCGATACTTTCATTTTGCCCCAGACAGCACAGGATACGCCTCAGAATAAAGGAATGAATTTGATAAATAATTAAACTTTTAAGTTTAAGGTACATACATATGGGGGGTAGGAAATAGGGTCTATGCATTTTTACTTGGATGACTATGTCTTTAAATCAGGTGATATTTTAAAGTTGTGAAAAAGAGATGTTACTTTCTCTAAATAAACGTATGTTTAGCAATTAAGAAAATCAGTGGCGTTAAGAAAATGTGGGTAAATTTACATATAATATATAAGTTTACCCATGAATATCAAAAACCAATCATTTTACACATGTCAAAATTTAATTTTGAAAAAATAAGGGTTAGTTAATTTTTTTTTTTCAAAAAATGAAAATTTATTTGTGTTTTTACTTTGCAAAAAGTTAAGTGGTTGTATAGTTTTATCAAATTAATAACATTTCTGTAAAAAAGACATTAAAATCTGTTTACAGGTGTGAAAAACGGTTTAAAAAGTCTAATTTAGATAAAAGAATTCTTTATTTTACGATTTTCTGATAATATAATAGAAAATTTTTTTTATTGAAATTGGTTTAAGTAGTTTTTGTTGTAAATTAAATTTAAGATTGATTTTTCACAATTTTTTAAAATTTATGTGAAAAGTGGTTGGGTAGGCCCAACATTCCACAATTTAAGATCACATATCATAACATCTAAAGTATTTCTCTAGCGTGGAAATAAGCAGTAAATGAACTCCTTTAGTGATATTAGTGACATTAATTTAATGATTTAATTTGTGATCATTTACATTTGGTAATTTAATTTTAAGGTCATTTTTAGAGGAACAAAAATTGCAGTTTAACTGTGCGGTAAATAGTATGAAATAGTATCAGTGATCACTGATCAGTATAGCAATAGATGAAAAATACTTCTTGTTATATATTATCAATTATTATATAATTATACAATTATATTATTTGACTCCAATTACTAATTACTTGACTTATTTATTATTTAAATTTAAATACTCGATGTCGATAGTTATAAGTTAAAGTCAAAGTTATAGTTTAGTTATAGTGTTATAGTTATTGCTTACCACCGTAGGCAATATGAACCATGGTAGGCTGACATGGATTGAAAGATACAGTCACTCCTACACATAACAAGAGAAGTAGGAAGGCAATAAAGCCTTTCCTATCCATTGTTGATACTGTGTACGGTTGCTTACGAGTTACTTTTAATGGATCTTGTACCAATGAGTCAATTCGGAATGACGACCAACGCGTTGTTTATAATCACCAGTAAAAGTCATGTGACAACCATTTCAAGGCAATCGAGTTGAAAGTTGACGGATCCATCTATTTTGAAATTGGGGGACATGGGTTACCTTTACCATTGGTTTTAATTTAAAATTATTTCACGTCTTCAATGATCATTTGCCTATTGAAGCCTACTCATTATCTATAAGTAGGACTACTTTCTTTAAATCACCTCGATAAGAAGACTGTCTACAGTAAATCAAACATAAGTGATCTATAATATTATATCGAAATGTGAATGTTAGAATTAGAACAAATTTTTATTGTAATTTACATCATATCTTATTATCATTTCAAGAACTCAAATTCAAAAGTTAATCCCTAATTATGGCTATCCTGACTTGTCAGTTGATGTCTCAAGATTTTAAGGGCGTTCATAATATAGCTTCATCACGGACGTCATTTGATTTTTTGTTGGGTAGGGTGAGGCATTCCCCCCCACCTTTTTTTTTTTCTCCCGAATTTGCAAGTTTTATTTAAATTGCTATGTAACTTTTCTGTGGCGCCTCCAGTAATAAATTACGTAACAAGCTGACCAAGTTTTGGTTTTGCCCCCCCCCCCTTTTTTTTTTTTTTTTTTTTTAATTATTTTTTTTTTTTTTTGAAATGACGCCCCTAAACTTAACTTAACGCGTAAATGGTTCACTACACAGTTGATGCAGTTCAATTAGATAGTCTAGTTTTCATTTTCAAAATAAATAAAAGTCTTTGTAAAAATAATTTTCTTAACATTTCTTACAATGCATTGCGAAAATAAAGTCTGTGCAGAAGGATAGGAAGGCACTATACCATATGAACTATGTAGCCAAGCCGAATCGCGAATGTGGAGAAAACTTGCTTCACCCCTTACCTTCATGATACATCACTGCACACTTTTTATTTCATGCCCATGAACTATATCAATGATGTCCCAATCACTTTTAAACCTAATATTAATTACACCGTATTTAAATTGGGACGATTTCATTTTACGAAAAGAAAATATTACACAATAATCCCAATTGCGTTATTTAAAAAAAAAAAAATATTTAGCGTACCGTTTGTTATCGGAAATTATATTTTGCGCGCTATCCGAAAAAAAACGCCATTTCCCATACCCAAATACATTGTAATACTGAATATACGTCACAAAATACAATTTATTATTAGGAAGCAGCCACGATTTTTAGGAATCTGTCGGAAATGGAAGCAGTCCATCAGAAGCAGTCCATCAGAAGCAGTCCATCAGAAGCAGTCCATCAGAAGCAGTCCATCAGAAGCGTAATATATTATATAAGAGATTTTTTTTTTTTTTTTTTTAGTTTTACGACTTTAAACTAGGGTGACCAAATCATGAGTTGGAAAAAACGGGACAAACCAAAGGAGAGTTAGGGGGGGGGGGGGGGGGAAAAAAAAAATAAAAGAAATTGGGAGAGGTAAGTAGGCTTAAGAGACTGTTTATTCAAATATGCTCATTTTAAATACTTTGAACCCTAGAAATCTTTTTAAATTAACCTTCACTTTTGTATTCAATTTAAAACTCTGAAGCATATTATAAAAGAAAACACTAATTTTGCAGTAAATTCTTATTTATTTATTTATAAATATAAGACCTATGGCAGGGACACTGGTTTACGCAGCGTCGGCAGAGTGGTGGAGGGGGAACAGTCCAGCCATCACGCGAGCCCACATCACTACTGGCACCGGCTGCACAGCTAGCCAAAATATTAGTTGAAGTTTTATTATAAATTATGAAGTTTTATTGATTTGAAAATGAGTTTGGTTTTAGAAACGGGACATTTAGGCGTCCCGAGTGACTTTTTCGGGATCGTTTGGTCACCCTACTTTAAAATCGTCTTGGAAGGAAATTCTTTTTTAAATATTTTTTTTTTTAAAATAAGCCTACATATTCTTTTTTTTTTCTAATTTTTAGTATGAACATTTTAATATATTAATTATCCACAATAGAATCTGCGTGTAGTGACTTAGCTCTAGAACCCCCACGCCTACTGCCAAGTTAAAAATAACCCACAGCATCCATCTTAATTAGATATGTAGGCCTGCATTAGAACTCACAAGGGACATCTAAAGTGTGCTGTATTTTAAACTTAAATTAAGGCGAGTGCTACTTTTCATTACATAACGGGGGACAGTATGGCTGGGTAGCATGCTTTATGACACAGCTCCATCCCCACCCCTGACTTGACATGTCCTGAAATTGCTTCTTAAAATGGAGGAGCCACGAAACTCCTCCATTATCAACAACCAGGCTCTAACGCAGGGATCGCAAACTCAATTTATCCAAGGGCCACATGAGGTAGAGCCTGAGTGAGACTAGGCCGCACGAGGTAGAGTCTGAGTGAGACTGGACCGCAGGAGGTTAAGACTGAGTGAGACTGGGCCGCAGGAGGTTAAGACTGAGTGAGACTGGGCCGCAGGAGGTTAAGACTGAGTGAGACTGGGCCGCAGGAGGTTAAGACTGAGTGAGACTGGGCCGCAGGAGGTTAAGACTGAGTGAGACTGGGCCAAATTACGAGTTCCAAAAAAAAAAAAAAAAAAAGCGATGACTATTCAATAAAGTGCAACTGTCACTATCTGCTTAAACCTTATTAATAACAAATAAAAAAACCTTTGTTCCGATTTTAAAACGGTTTTTACCATTATAATTAACGTCCAATTCTATACAAACATAATAAAAATCATAATTAGACTAGTCGGTGAGATTCAACTGAAACCGTCGCGGAGGGTCGCATTATAGATATGAGAGTGGGGAAAACGCTCGGGTCGCATTAAGATTAAACTTTGCTTCAGGTAGCGGGCCGCAAAATATCGTCTTGCGGGCCGCAAGTAGCCCGCTGGCCGCGAGTTTGACACCCCTGGGGTCCGTGATTTGAAAAAGTTCTCGAAAAAATTACGCAAAACAAACTAAAAGCACCTGTGTATAAGTTTAATATTGAATGGTGCAGGGCTGTATCCGAATTGCACAAGGATCATTCGCTTCACCAGACTAAATGGACATGGAAAGTATGTCATATAAAAAGATTGAAACCTTCTGGTTAAGAGATTATGAGTTGTTCCATCTCTGTAATGAATATTAAACTATGAAAATGTTATTTCCTTGTGTGTGTGTGTGTGTTGCCGGGGTGGGGCTGAGAAACCCTTGTCTTTTTTCTTGAAAATAAAACCCCAGTGTGACCCTTGGGCAAATTTGTTTTCTGTTGAAAGTTTAACTTCCTTAAAGAGTGGAAATTTTGTACACTTTTGTAGACTACTAATACCAAATTTATCCATGAGCGTCATTTTAAACTAACGACACGTACCAGGATGTATATAAACATATAAACCAAAAACAACAACAAAAACAAACAATAAAAAACAACAATAAAACTTTTTTTGGGGAAATAAACAGCTCCTGATAACGAAGCATTTTAGGTGAAAATTCAAATTTTAATCAATCATCGTCACATTCTCTTAAAGCAGGAGTGGACTGGACCGTCGGGACACTGATAGCCTCTTCAGACAACTAACTTCCTCGCCACCTTGCAAAATTGTGAACATCCCCCCCCCCCCCACACACCCCCAGGTAGGGGAGTCCTGACTCCAAATCAAACAACTTTGCACCTAACTAAAATCCCACCTCATGTGATCTTGATCTCTCACACACACACGTCAATTGGCCAGTTTTATTTTCAACAATTTGTTGGTGGTTTTGGGGCTCCATTTGAACATGTCAAAGATAAGCGGTAACAAGTTGGATAGAGAGTAGGGCCCAACTAACACAAAATATTAAAGGGCAGAATTAGATCACACTGAACACGCTCACTAAGAGGGAGTGGGGGGGGGGGG